AGACAGAGTGGGGAGCAGAACAGGCAGACTGACTGAAATATGCTGCTGAGGGGAGCAACAGGCAAGACAGGAGAGGTCTGCTGAGCCATGTGGGTCACCTCTTGTGGCAGTGCCCAGTGATAGCCTGATAGTGCTGTCCTTAACCCTTCACCACCAGGGAGGCTCCACATTTTCATTTTTGACTTGACATTTGATTTTCATAAAGCCTGTGTGTGTGTGTGTGTGTGTGTGTGTGTTTTCCAATTTGAAAGACATTTTAAGGGAGCAACAATTATTTCTGTATGGCTAAAATCTTTGGGAATCTCTCCTCTTCCACAAGGCCAATTAGTCTAACAGTATGTATGTTTCCATATGTATAGCAATACATATGCAATGAGGAACTCTTGAAATCTAATTTAATAAAAACAAATAAACAGAAAATTCAGACAATTTCCTAATAGGGTAGTTTGGAAGTCAGGAAAGCCATGAAAGATTAAATAAACAGCAAAACATACTAACAATTGATACATTATAGGGGTTATACTGGTTCAGAAAGATATATATGTAAAACAAAGATGAACAAAAAGAAAAGGTGGGTAAACAGAATACAAGTCTTTCCATAACTGAACGTATGTACAATTTAACATCCATGCTTATTAGGAAAACAAAGCAATAAAAACAGCTGTTTTCAGAATGTAAGATTATACTTTTCTGTAAATTATATGTGTTTAAATGCTTTGGAGGCATAAAACTAAGTCATATTCTACCTTAGGAGCTTTCCTTTTATCAAATAATTCTACTTCTAATACTCATCAGAGAAACATACTATACCGCATACCTCATGAATTCCCACCAATCTTGAGATGAGGTTCATGAGCATCATCTTCACTTCAAACCTCTCCTTCGAGCTCTCTAGCTGCTTCAGCAGTTTTTCTGCAAAATCTGGAAAGGAGATTATCAGAGTATGTCTGCACATCAGTAGCTCACAGGTCCAGGAAGACAGTTGTTAGATTAGTGACTCTGGCAGAGTGGGGCGTAAAATCCCTCTGCAGGACTGAGCTGGTGAAACAGGAGTTAGAAGATTTACACACAGGAGAATATACCTCCCATGGTGCCCAGAGTTAAGTCTCAAGGAGCAACATAAGTTTTAGCACCAGCCTCCGTCACTGATAGCAGCAGCTAATAGTTTTCTAGAGCCACGCTTCTCAGGCGTGCTCCACAGATACTCAACAGCTGGTCCACTTTGAAGCTTGTTGGAAAGCAGACTCTGAGTCCCCCTCATGCTCCACATCAAAGAGATCTGAGTCTCTGAGGTCAGTTTGAGAAGTCTCTAGGTGATTCAAACATGTGGTCCAACTGAAAACTCATGTTCTAGAATATGGTTTCCCAAATGTCTGGTTTCCACGGGCCAACTTAATTAAAAGGGAGAAGAGGGGCCAACAAAAGACTATCACATTTTCATTTGGTCAAGTACAATGTCCTGCCACTATTATGTAGTTAAAGATATAGATTGCAGAGAGCTGTTTTTGCACATTTTTATTATTCTGCATGGAATGGGCTTAACTGCTTTAGAACATAATCCCCCAGGCCAAAACCAATTAGTAACAACTAAGCATTTGCTTATTATTAAGTGGCTGGGATCTCATACTTCCCGGTAACTTTAAGTTATGAAACCAAAAAGACAAATATGGAAACTTGGCAAGTCATAACAATTGTACCTTGAGGATCATGAATCAAGTGGATAGCTGAAAAGTTAAAGACCTCTGGTTTTTTCTTCTTCTTTTGTTTCTGAAGAAAGAAAAAAGAACCACATTTCCATTTTGAGTAACAATGATGAGATCCATGGGATTAAAATGCACTAATATGATAAAGCCCAACCCATTGTTTAATAAAGGAAAAAATCTTTGAAAACCTGTTAAGAACTACAGATGAGTTTATCTTTTAAGATT